TTCAACCGCTGAAGCTCCAAAGCGTCCTCGCCATGAACCACCAGCAGGAAGGCCGGCTCTGCTGCCTCTCTGGGCTTCCTCTTCCGGGGCTTCCCCTTCTTCCCCCCGCGGGGAGCTCTGAGTGTCAGGGACTTGCCCTCCATGTTGGGATGACTCAAGGCAAAACATACCTTTTCTATCATAAAACTTAAATGTCAGTTTTGTCATTTGAAAACTAATACTTCAGGGGCCATTTAACTGGCTTGGGCAGTAGTTGCATCGACTGTTTTGAAATAGTGTTTTAATGAGAATAAGCATTAATCAGAGAATGAGACCTAGTTATGATATGTCTTGGGAGCAATCACCTGCCAGCTTTCCCCTGGCACACCCTTTTCGGTGGATGAGCCACCGGTGAGCAGGGGGCATGGGAACCATCCTGAGAAACTGCACAGGAGACCACAGAAAAGAATCTGTACTTTGCAGTAATTAAACCTCAGCTTAAGAATGTCAAGCATTCCCCAAACTAATGGAAAGTCAGAAGTATAATTAGGTTGTAATTGTACATGTGCCTTCCAGAGGAAGGGCAGCCCCAATTCCCAATCAGTGAAGGGGGAAGGCCTCGCTGTGTTTTCATTTCCCTTCAGAAAGCATGCGTCTTCCCATGTTAAACGCAGTCAGCCTTACACACTTGTTTGCTTAGCCCAATTAAGGTTAAGAAATCCTAAAGAGGCACTGGGGAAGGAGGAAGGTTGGGGAACTGGGTGAAAAGATAAAGGGGTTCAGCATTACAAATTGGTAGTTAGAGAACAATCATGGGGATGTAAAGTACAGCATAGAAAGTACAGTTAATAATCTATTTATATATAAAAAGCCAGCGACTGGAATGCCGGAACAACTGGAATGACCCACTGTGGCCAGCCAACCTCCCCAGGTCTCTCCTCGCCAGCCAACCCCACCCCGGATCGCCCCCTCCTTCCCCAATAGGGGGTAGGGGCTGCCTGCCAACCTCCTGTAGCCCCTCCCCCCTGTCTGGCCCCACCCAGGATTGCCCCTCCCCTCCTGATCAGGGGCAGTGCCAGTCGGCCAACTGCCCACAGCCCTTTCCCCTAGCCAGCTCTGACCCCGATTGGCCTCCCCTCTCTGATCAGCCAACCACCCATGACCCCTCCCCCAGGCCCCTGGCCCCTGATCAGCCACACCAACCTCATTTGGGGGCGGGTCCAGCTGGCCCTACCCCCACTACTCTGATGGGCCCATGGCCCCTCCCCCCAGCCAGCTGTGCCCTCAATCACCCCCACACACACCAATAGGGGGTGGGGCTGGCTGGCCGACCTCCCATGGCCCCTCCACCAGCCACTGACCCCCAATCGGCCCCCCTACCCCAATTGGGGGTGGGACTTGCCGGCCAATCACCCGTGGCCCCTCTCCCCAGCCAGCCTGGCCCTGATCAGGCCCCAATCAGGGCAGGCCAACCTCCCGCTGTCTCCTCCCAACACGCCTGACCCAAATCTGCCCCAGTTTTGGCCTGGCCGGCGGAACTCCATCCATGCATGAATTCGTGCACTGGGCCTCTACTACCATAATAACTATATACGGTGCCAAGTAGGTATTGGAAATATTGTAAAGTATATGATTATCTAATCTGTATGCTGTACACTTGAAACTAATAATGAATAATACTGAACGTAAACTGAAATTTAAAAAAAAAATTTTTTTAAGAGACACTAGAGAAGCAAGGAGTCCCAAAACACAACAGGAAGTAGAAGTCTACTGCTTACTAGTGCATTTTAAAAGTGTTATTGCCAAATAGTATTTCAGAAATTTTTGTACAAAAATAAGCAGCTGAACATTGTGTTTTGATGGCGCCAACCTCCTCCCTGTGTTAGATTATGACAGTGTTTTGGACTTCTGTGGTCCCATGTGCTGGTGGTTGTTTTCAGCCGTCTCTTAGGCAACCAGTGCTGCTGCACTGAAACTCACCAGCATTCCCAGCTTTTAGAACCAAAAATGTAATTTGGTAATGACACACCTAACTCCAGAGGAGTCAGATTCCTTCTTTAAAAAAAAAGTGAATATTTATCCAAAACTATGAGATTTATGGTACAGTACAGCTAATTGAAAATAAAATTGGAAGCAAATTAAAACCAACTACATGTTTTAATCAGCTTGGAAGACTTCAAGTATTGCAGCAACGGGGTAAGTAATTTTCTTCTGGAAAATATATAATGATGTCATTATTTTGGTACTTGTGACTCCAGGGACGGAGGAAAGAGAACAGAGATTTGCTGAATGCTATGGATAGGTGGCGCTGTGCCTCATAGCAGATGGGGAATTACATTCCAGAAGCCTGGGTTACTACAGAGGCCGTGTCTAAGGTCTAAACATCAGAATTATAAAGTCAAATAAGTACCTTAAAAAAGCATCTGGTGCACACAAGAGCCAAATTTTTGCTTTGGAAAGAAACTTTCATAAATCCTAAGGTGTCCACTAATTTTCTATTTGGCTAAAGAATGTTTTCACGTAATGCTTTTAGTTTTAAGAATTTACAAGGCTTGTGATTGACACCTGTCACTTAGGGAAATCAACGTGGAAGGAAACACTGCCTTTCTGAAGCATAATGAGTTAATCTGCATGCGACATTAATCACAAAACCAAGGGAAAATTGGGGGCTGTTTACCTATGGCAAACTGTCAACATAGTTCCACTTGGCCGAGGCGGCTTTCCCTTGTAGCTAGAAAGGCGCTGTGTGCTTGGCTTCAGAAGGCTTGTGTCCAATTTCTAGGCTCCGCCCCTTCCTGGCCGCCGCACCAACGTAGGGTTACTTGGCTGTTTAGTTACCTGAGATTCTCGCCTGGCCTATCTGGTGTCCTACATCTTCCCAAGCAACACAGGGAAACTGGCAAAGGTTGTCTCTAGCTGCCCACAACCATCCTTCTCAACGCCAGTTCTTACTTCTTCCGGACTCCGTTTTCCACATCTAAAATGTGAGGTTAAAATACCTACCTCATAGGGTCGCTGAGAGGACTGACTGATAGAGTGCTTATAGAGGGTATCATACACCTAGTAGGTACTAAAAATCACACACACACACACACACACACACACACACACACACACACACACCATTACTGTCCCCTCTACTCCCCACCTCAACAAATAGACGAGTGAATGAAAACTATATGGCAACAGTTGGTAAGCAAAACCCTTACATAACACTCAATTTTTAAAGAGGGTTTCAAAGTGGGGAGTCTAACCAGGGATTCCTCAGCCCCTGACTCCCCCTCCCCCGCTGCGGCCGAGCCCAGACCCCAGGGGGTAAGCGCAGCAAGAGCCTGCTCCGGGGAGGTCTGCAAGCTGATCCAGAAGGGGGTGTAACTGTCACAGAAACATGTTCAGAATGTCTAGGTGTTTTCTGTTACAGACTTGACATTACAAATGAAAAGAGCCCAACACAGTCTTCAGGATTCAGGGTTCGAATGCCCCTGGGAGGAGAGGGAGTGAGTGGCTGGTGTATCTTTCCAAGAATTCAGAAACGACTGGCTTCAGTGGCCAGCAAAGAGTAGACTCACTTCTGGCTAAACCGAGGGTAACGGAGCCCCAGAGTAACTCTCAGCCGTGTGTGTACTCCTTCCTCTCTGGGAGGGTCCTTGCAGCCGTGCTAGCTAAGGAGACTGTGTGTGTTTCCTAGTCTGTGGACGGAGAAGGGAGACTGAGATGGGGAGAGGAAAAGCACGACATGCTCTAGCACCAGGTTGGACCATCACCTTCTGTTTCTCTCCACCTCCGGGGGGGCCCTCTTTACCTGGTGTTCAGCGCGCCCTTCCCCTTCCCCTCCCCCCCCCATCCCTTCCCGGGGTCCCCAGGTTTGGAGACGGGCCGCCTCGGAAGCAGAGGTAACTGGCAGGACACCCCGCTCCGCGGTGTTGAGCAGCCTCTGCCTTTCACAGAGAAACTTGGAGCCGAGTGACTTTGGGGGCGTGTGGGCTCCCAGGGCACCTCCCCCGGACAGCGCTCGCATCGCCTGGCGGTCGCGGTGGCCGATGGCACTTGGCCCCGGGGCCCCTCGCCCCCGCCCAGCCCACAGCGGGGATGGACACGCGTTATCCGAGCACAAGACCAGGAACTCGAGTCCCGTGGACACACCGCGCCGGCCCAGCCCCAAGTGGCTCCCCTGGATGCCCCCGCGGTCACTGTGTCTCTCACTGCACACACCGGGCTCTGCTGGCAACTCTTGTTCCTGCTGCTCTGAAGGGCGCTGGGCAAAGCCCTTCTTCCCCGCCGGGGATCCTGTTGAAAGGTCCACCCCATCCGACGTTCCCTGAACCTGCCTGCTCCGGACCCCAGGGGACGGGGGACCGGGCGGTGTGTGTCATCCCTGCACACACGTGGGGCGCGCCCAGCACCCCCACCGGCGGGCACCGGGAAGGGGCGCGGCGTGGCTGCGGGCAGTGATTTTCCAGGCGGCGGGGCTGGTGGTGGAGGAAGATGCCAAACGCGCTTCCCGAGCCAGCTCAACTCCGCGGGCACCTAATCACTGCCAGATGTGTGTGTGTTTGGGGGGGGGGGGGACGCCCAGAGAACACCCCCGCGACCCGGAGAAAACACCGGGCCCGGCGCACACCCACCCACCGGCTTCTGGGCTGGAGGGGCCGCTGCGCCGGGGAGCACAGCGGACCCCGGGGCCGCGGGGAGCGAGCGCCGCGGAGCGAAGGATGAGGATGCCTCCCGCACTCCTCGGCGGCATCTTTTCCCAATTAAAAAAGTTGGGAACTGGAATCCATAAACAGCGACGTTAGGGCTTCAGACTAATTCGAAGAGACGCGATGGGACGGGCAATAACTTGTACGCTTTCCAAGCAGCCCCCGCCCGGAGGTCCAAGCGCCCCCGGGGTGCACGCAGGGACCCGGCGCCCGCTCCGCTCCCGGTCCCCCCCACTCCCCGGACCCTGAGAAAAAAGTTCGTGCAGGGGCGCACCGTCACCCCTTCCAGCGCGATGCGGAGCCCGCCCCGCCTGGCCCTACCTTTCATGGTGGCGGAAGACGCGCACCGCCGGCCCGGGAGCTCCGCGCGGCCGAGGAAGATCGCGCTGCGCAGCGGTCACTGCGCGCCCATGGCAGCCCCGCCGTCCGCGCTGCCCGCCCCGCCGCGCTCCCCGCTCCCGCTCCCCGCTCCGCCCCGCGCTCTGAGCCGGGGCCGCCGCGCGCCCTCACCCCGGGCGGGAGGCGCCGCGCCTGCCCCGCCTCCCCCGCCGCCGGCCCGCGCCCCCCGCCCGCCCGCCCCGCCCCCGCGCCGCCTCCGCTCCTGCCCAGGCCCTCTCTCCCTCCCCGCGCCCTCGTCTCCCGGTTCTCCTTCCCGGGACCGTGTCTCCGGGGCCGTCTAGGGTTCCCCCTCGGCGCGCGTGGAAGGCGATGCTTCGGGGCTTATTTCTGGGACCCAAGTCTCCCCAGGGCGCGGAGAGGGCTGGGGAGCAGCGGCGGCACGTGGGTGCAGGATGCGGTGGTTCCCAAACGGCTCGGGGGCAGGGAGGGTGACACCGGGAGGGGGAAGGGGGAAAGGTCCTCCGGGTTCAAAGTTCCAGGCCGCTTGCTGGCATGGAAGGAAGCAGGATAGCGGCGGGGGAGCCTGCCCTCTTTCACCCGGGCAGGGCCGTCCGTCCCTACATCCGAGGGCACCTCGGAACGCGGGCCCTGCAGAACTCGGAGCGGAATTACAGGTCTTGAAGCTTCCAGGGCAAGGGCAGAGGCAGAGGCAGAGACAGAGACCAACAAACGCACCACACTCCCCTTGGTTATTGGAGAAGTCATCCCTATTCCCATCGGGCGATCCTGTTGCGTGGCCCATCCTGTTATCTTTCCTTGTAGAAAACCCCCCATGCAGACCCATTGCTTTATTGCTTTAAAACATAAACGAAGCGGTGAGTGGAGCTGTGAGGAGGGAGGTGCAGAGGAACTTCCTTCAACAACTCTGAAACCAGTGAAAGTTACCCGGTACCAGTTACTTCACCAAAAGCACTGCAATTCTAGCTTCAGTTTTACAGATTTCCTCTCCTAAGGACCTGGTAACGCGGTGTGACCAACCCATTGATTCATTTCTAAACAGGAAACTCTTTGCTCTAGTAAAAGGCAGTGCCCAGAAATGAATACCTTCTAAAATATTTCACAGACTGTCTATTCCAGAAGCTCTCTCTTTTGGACATGAGGGGAAAACTTGTACACGACTGGCAAAGAAAAATACAAAAACTGGCACTTTTTTTTTTCTTTTCACTTCAGCGATTGATTGATGAATCCACAGCCGTCGCCCCCCTACTCCCCTCCCCGCCAAGGTTCCTCGGAGACTTGCTCCAGCTCTCCCCAAGATCCCTGCATTGCCTTGCAGAGTCCCCAGGGGAGCCCAGCATATGGATCCTCAGACCAGAGCTTAATAACCAATATGAGGATGGAGTAAGTCCATCGGTTTCTTTGAAAAGTGGAGAGAATTTTGGCTCCAGTATTTGAATAGAAAAAAATTTTTTTGAAAAATTATAAATTATACACATGACACAAAAACATAGCCAACAAAAGGAAAAAAATAGAGACCAATGGGATTTCATCAAAATTAAAAACTTTTGTGAATGAATGGATACTATCAACAGAGTGAAAGGGCAACCCACAGAATGGGGCTTGCAAATATTCTCAGAACCCTACAGAAAATATTTGCAGATCATATATCTGATAAGGAGTTAATATGTAGACTATATAAAGAACTCCTATAACTCAACAACAAAATAAACAGCTCAATTTAAACATGGCAAAGACTCAAATAGACATTTCTCCAAAGAAGATACACAAATGGGCACTAAGTATATAAAAAATGCTCGACATCGCTAGTCATTCGAGAAATGCAAATTAAAACTATAATGAGCCCTAGCCGGTTTGGCTCAGTGGATAGAGTGTTGGCGGGAGGACTGAGGAGTTCTGAGTTTGAATCCTGTCAAGGACACAGACCTTGCTTGCAGGCTGGATCCCCAACCCTGGTCAGGGCTGTGTGGGAGGCAACCAATCAATGTCTTTCTCACATCAATGCTTCTCTGTCTGCCCCCTTCCCTTCCACTCTCTCTGAAAATCAAAGGAAATAAAACTAATTTCTTAGTCAATAATAATGAAGGTTATGCATTTAAAAAACTATAATGAAATACCACTTTACAGCTACTAGAATGACTATTAGTAAAAATTAAAAACCACAGAAAATAAGTGCTGGGGCAGATATGAAGAAATGAGCATTGCGGGTAGAAGTGTAAAATGATACAACCACTGTGGAAAACAGTATGGTGCTTTCTCAAAAAAATTAAACATAGGATTCCTATAGGATCCAGCAATACTGCTTCTGGATATATGTCCAAAATAATTAAAACAGGGACTTGAATAGGTATTTGTATATTTATGTTCATAGTATCATTATCTACAATAGCTAATATGTGAAAAAACAACCAAAGTGTCCTCCAGTGGATAATTGGATAGATAAAATAGGTATAGATGTTCAAATCTTCAAGTTGAATAGAGTGCAGGATAGTGGCGATGGTTGTGCAATCATGTGAAGGTACTTAATGCCACTGAGTCCCAAAGGTAACAACCTGGCACCTCTTCTGAGCCCTCTGTGGAGTAGACAGGGCTGAAGGTTGTGGTTACATGCAGTCCATCAACTAACCAAGATATCTCTAGTCGAGAGCTCTGGGAGGAGTTGAGGACTGAGCTGGAGCTTCAGGAGACAAATGAAAGGCAAAGAAGACAATTGCATAGTCAAATCTATGAAGATGCCTTGAATTCATCAGTGGAGATGAGCTACAGGGCCTCCAGGTCATACTCAAGCCTCCCTACCTCCCGCAGCAGAACCATGCTCTGCATTCGCACTTCTCTTTTAAACCTGGGGTAATATCGTCTCATTTAATACTCACCCCAACCCTGTGCTAAGTACTACCTTTTTACTGGTGGAAAAGCCCAATTGACCTCCCCTCCTCCCTTTTCCTCAATCCTAATCCTAAAGAGGAGCTGTGTTTTCCACCCAAAAATATGACAGCAAGCCAAAACTGGTTTGGCTCAATGGATAGAGCCAACTGAAAGGTCCTGGGTTCGATTCCAGTCAAGGCATGTACCTTGGTTGCAGGCATATTCCCAGTAGGGAGTGTATAAGAGACAGCTGAACCATGTTTCTAACTCTATCCCTCTCTCTTCCTTTCTGTAAAAACTCAATTATATATATATATATATATATATATATATATATATATATATATCACCAAAAACACAGTCAACAGGAGAAAAAATAGATACATTGGATTTCACAAAAATTTAAAACTTGTGTGCATGAACCATTGCTATCTAACAGAGTGAAAATGCAACCCACACAATGAGTCAGACAGTTCTCCATCCAAGAGTCTGGGAGGTAAGACAAGGCATTTCAGAGAGGATGCACAATAAAGATGGCATGAGCGAGATACATTGAAAGTGCTAGAGAAGGAAAGAAGGCAAAAACTTCTAACGAAGGCAGCTGGGAAAGCTTCATTTAGACTTGTCCCTGAAGGATGGTTGAGATCCCAATGAACATGGGAAATGCTCACTGTCTCCCCGGTGCAGTGGGTTGAACAGAAGAGTCTGGGAGCCGTTTATGTCAGAATCACCCCTGGGTGTCTTCAGAAAGCGAAGACTATTGGGCTTTGCCTCAGAGACCCAAATTAGGATCTTTCAGGGAGAAGCTGGGAACTTTTCCTCAGCTGACTTTCGTGCTCACTAAACTTGGAAATCATCACAGTAGACTATGAGCTTCTTAAGAGAAGTGCCATGTCTTTATCTTTGTAAGCACAGCTTCCAGCAATTGATACTCAATGAAAGACTGAATAAATGGAAAAGGATTAACAAAGGGGAGAGGCACCTGAATGCAGAGGGGAGAAAGTGAAATGCATGGACCATTCCCTTAGGACAGCCATCCATAGGTGATACCCATGCCCTGAAAGTCTGCTTTGCATATGGCAGGAGAGGGGGCTTGCTTTTTGAGGATATCGGCGTCTATGGCTTGGTCATCTGAGTCGCTTCATGTTCTCTTCTACACTTGACAAAGAATAAACCTGGTTTGGCAGAGTAGCCGTTGCTGTTAAGCACGCCCACTAAAATGTTAGGATTCCATAACAAGTCTAATGGTTTTGTACTGGATGCCAGGTGCTATGTCTCCATTCTCTGAGCTGTAATGATGTTTGAGATCTGCATGAAAAGTGTTTTTTGTTTTGTTTTGTTTTTTTGGAGGGGGGGTGGGTAAAGAAAAACCCTGTAGGTCTTTAAAAGCTTATCGGTCTTGTCAGTGTTTCTATTTCTTTCGTTTTTATTATTTTATTTTATTTTATTTTATTTTTTTAAATATATTTTATTGGTTTTGTACAGATAGGAAGGGAGAGAGATAGAGAGTTAGAAACATCGATGAGAGAGAGTCATCAATCAGCTGCCTCTTGCACACCCCCTACTGGGGATATGCCCGCAACCAATGTACATGCCCCTGACCGGAATCGAACCCGGGACCCTTCAGTCCCCAAGCTGACGCTCTATCCATTTAGCCAAATGGGTTTCGGCTATTTCTTTCCTTTTTAAACAAACTTTTTGAAGGAGGTGCTTGATTGAGAGCTGCTTTCCCTGTTTGTCCAAAAAGCCAGCATTTAGTTCCATGTAATGTTTCACAATTCAGAGTATCAGTCTGAAAGTTTTCCTCGAGTCCATGTGGCAGTGGAAAAATAAAATTTCCTTCCACCTTTCTATAAGTTTTTCTGGCTGGACTAAAAATCAAGTGGATCTGAGATGGATGAGCAGAAGAAAATGGCTAAAAAGTGTTACATTTGTGCATGCAGGAGTCCCATTAGAACATGATGATAAATTGGGCAGTTCAGGCTTATATGCCTCCTTGAGCTGAGTGGGGGTGGTGGTTTGCAATTTCAAAGGCAGGAAGGCAAGTCCCATGGAGAGGGAAGAGCACGTTTTCGGTAAGATAATGTTGGCGGGGCCATCTTTAAC